TAGCCCCCAAAAGAGCTCTTTTAAAATTTAATATGGTTTATCAGCATGATAGAGATGGCCCACGTGGAATAGCGAAACATTTTATGGGATATTAGACGAATATGCATTTAAAATAACATGAGAACGTTATACATGTTCTGTATATTTAAAAGTATGAAACGTAATTCTATTAAAATATTTAATGCTTTAACTAGCTTTATCATGAATTAAGTCCATTTAATTTAAATCAATAACATTCAAACAAACAAACAAACAAAAAAAAAAACTTAAAGGTTTTAGTTTTTAAATTACATCTAAAGAGGGCGTTTTTTACATTTGGGTGTTACCTTTATTTATTAAATATCGTGTTCTTCGCACTTAAACCATAAAATTGAGTTCAAGATCAATCTTGGAAAATAATTTTAAATTCAGCATATCCTTAGAATTTCTGATACAGAGTCTCGCGCGCTGGAGATAATTTCCCCCCCCCCTTACAGTGTTGCCATTGTTCGCTTTGAAATCGTTTAGTTTTTTTTAATCAGAAATTCGTGTAAGTGTTACAAAATATGAAATCGATAATAAAACAAATTTCAAATTCAAATTAGGTCTTCCACATGCCCATATTCTATGGAAGAGTACGTTATTCAAATTTTGATGGCTGCAGGTACTGTTGTTTTATCACAATGCGAGAAACATACATACATTCATGCAGATTCTTCATTATTTAATTTCTTTAAATATAAGACAGGACGATAATATATGGTGGCAACGATTTGAAAAGTGATACAGTCTTTCCCTTTTTAAAGTTTTCGACACAAAATGGCAAAATGAAATTAATAGTCCTTCAGGGCAAATCTCCCCTTTGCACTAATAATATTTTTACGATATGCATTGATTGGTTTCAATTAGTTTAGTTTTTTAATTAGTAACAGACAGATTAAACATGAAAGAATAATATCTAACAGCTTTTTCGTGTGGCAACAGACTTGAATGAAAAATAAAACAACGGAAATTCGTTTTTCAAGACTAATAGCTTTTTTTGGGTCGAAAAAGAAAACGAATTAACTGAATAAAATTATTTGAACCGGCATTTCTCAATCGGAGTTTTCCGCAACCTAGTATATTCCATGAAAAATCCCTTGGGAGTCCAAAAACACTTGCAGTGAAAATGTCAATCACATATAAAATATCATATGAATCTATTTTAGGTAAAGGCCCTCAGATATGTTCAAGGATTCCGCAGTGATATTGTTTCAAGGATTCCGCAGTTATAAAAATAACTCGTCTAAACAAAGATGATATAATGTTAATACAAAATAGCACTTTATTATTAAGATATGACACTTCTTTACAGTTATTATTAAGTCTAAATGTAACTATCGTGTGCAGTTATGTATATTTAATCGGAATGGATTATTTGATTATGGTAAAGTACATTATATCTATTTGCCTATAGAGAAGGGTGCCATTGTAAAGGATATTTTAACAGAAGTTGGATCATGTTTAAGTTACACATGAGAAAAATGATGAATGTAGTTCAATCACCAGAAACAGAATCTTGATCGAATTCCTAGTGTTTATAGCTTTTGATCATTCGAATATTGGCCTACCCATTTTATAGAATAATTTCAAGAAACATACATGAAAATAAATAATTTTCAGATAACCCTCTCTAAAACGACCACCCAATGTTCGAAGTAATTTTGGTCATCTGAAGATAATGTTTTTTTAGAGAGGTAATGTTTGTTTTTATTCTCACATTTCTGATAATTTTCTAGGCGATTGGTTCTGTTATGGAGGTGGTCACCAGAAACGACTTCTCTGTATATGCTTTCTGAAATTAGTGTCCGTTGAGTTTTATAATTCAAACGAGTTGAAGAAAACCAGCAAATAAACTTGTAGCCTAGATAAAGCCATATAAATATGTACCAAATAACGATTAAAAGGCACAGTTCATTTGTTAATGTATTTATTTAACTGCGATAACTGGAAGTTATTTCCTGGAACACATGTCCTCCAGCGGCCGAGCGATAAAATAGTTGAACACTGGTAGTTCCGACGTGGATTTGATTCCAGGTGAATAGGCTGCCTGTATGCCCGTTTTCATGGTTTCTCCATGTGTAAGATGTATACAAGCCAGTTTCTCTGAGAAAGTTCTCCGCGAAGGCATCCCTTTCCCTAGGTAGATAGTCTTGGTGTGCTTTGTCATAATCAACTAAACCAAACTAAACCTGGAACACACAGCTTTCAAAATTTAATAAGTTTTGAAAATTACAGTTAAATAAAAGTGCTATTTCCTTCACAGAAGTTGTTAAAACATTGTTGTGGATGTTTATATTCACAGAAACGAAAAATTCGCAAATGTAGAATAGTAATGAACTGAAGAAAGCCGCAGACGACACAGGTGCTCAAATTATTACATAGAGAATGGCTTAAAATACGGAAAAAAAAAGCCCTTTAAAAAAACTGAAAACCATATAGTAGCGCTATTTATATTCATAAACTAAAATTAAATACTTAAAAGGTAAATAAAAGGCTGATCACATAAGGTGATCCCCCTTGACACTATAAAATCACCCCTGGTTTGGAACTCCTAGTGTATTACTACTAAACTGATCAAAATATGCCACAAATGTTTTGTTCATCGACAGAGCAGTTGTAGGTGTGTAGTTCGTGTACGCAGGCATCAAGATCGCCTTGACCCCCCAATGCCGCAGCCAAATTCATGCAGCCGTCAATACAGCTCTTTAAACCAGGGCTTCTTAAACTTTTTTCAGTCGCGACCCGTTTTAATCACTGAGATTTTTTTCACGACCCCCAGGACCCCATAATATTTACGAAAATTTTGTGGGACCCCATAATCCGACACACGCGTGAATGAAACTGTCAATTTTTCCACTTGTATTGCAATACACTATTGCAGATTTAGGTCATTAACTTTAATTTCTAATTTTAAGACATAGAACAATGTGAAAATTTTAAATAAGTAACAGACGAAATGACAGCGTCACGTGCGAAGCAAGTAAAATGAACGTTTATATTTCAAAAAGAATGCGTCGAAACGTTTTCATTTTTTCTTTGTCTGTATTGTCTTATCTTTATCTATTTTCAGATACATTGTGTAAAAATATTTGGTAAATGTAAAATTATTACAATAATTTAAAGAAGTATCAAAACTGCTAAAAATTTTGGCGACCCCCTGCTACAGGTCCCGCGACCCCCATGGGGGTACACAATTAAAGTGTACAAGGGTATGTGGAAAATATTAAAGAATCTAAGTTTCGAGCAGCCACCAAAGGACTCCTTTAAATTAATTTCCAGTTTTTTTTTTTTTTTTTTTTTTTTTTTTTTTTTTTTTTTTTGTGTGTGTGTGTGTGTCAATCTGGCTAAGAGACGTTTTTGTATTTTATATCAAATCTATGTACATTGCGAGGGGAGAAAAAAAAAAAAAGGCTAGTTCTATTCACAAAAGTTCCGATTGAAGAAATTCAAATTCCGTTTTTCGTGTCTCGAAAGTGCGTCTTAGGATTTATACATATAGCACTGTTTTTAGCACTGTGCACATAGGTATTTTGACACAAAATCGGACTTTTTCTGAAATAACATACCAATTTTTTTCCATATTTCTTTTCTAAGACCCTAATTATGGCTAAATATTAAATTTTCTAAAATTTGGTGCGAAATTTTAGGAGAAATTAAAAAATTTAACTTGGCGCATTTTTTTTCATTTTGCTCTAAGAATATTTCACTTGGCGAACTTGTTAATATATGGCAACCTATTTTCCTTTCCCTTCCATTGTGCAGAAGCGGAAAATTCCTATTTTTAAATAATTTTACCAAAGTCCCTAAACCACATTTAATGTTATTATCGCTTTCAACAAATATGCCAAATTTCAAAACGCGCCAGTATATAAATTTATGTATATCTTCGAAAATTTTTGAATAAAAATTTCTAATTTTTTGCAAGTATGCTTAGAAATACATCTATTTTAAGATGATAGTAAAATTTGTATAGGTTATAAATTAAAAATTTTTTTCGAAAAATTTATAGAAATTATTTAAAAATACGAATTAAAAAAAATAAAATCATAAAAAATGGGTGAATTTTATTTGGAATGAATTTAAATTTTGAATTTAAAAGAATCAAATAAATTTAATAAAAAAACAGATATTTATAAATATATACCAAACTCAATTAACAATGAGGAGCTAAAATTTTTAGGGCTAATTTTTAAAAACTACTCGTACGATTTTTACAAAACTTGTTAGTTTGGCATAATTTCAATCGTAGAACCGAAATGTGGAAAAAATTCATTCATATCAGAAAAAGTCCGATTTTGTGTCAAAATACCTATATTTCAATAATGCTATATATAAATCTAATGCATATCATAAGTCGCGCTAAGCGTGAAACACGCAAGTAGAATTTTGTCAGTCGGCCCAGTAGAAAGGGAGATATAGAATTGTCCTCCCTTGTCCAAGAACATGATATTTTATAAATAAAGGTAACACACAAAACGTTAAAAAAACGCTCTTTGGACTTAATTTAAAATCTGAAACCTTTCAGAATTTTTTTTCCCCGCAATGTACCTCTCTTGTGCACAAAAGTTAAAATATGAGAATGAGTGGATGGAATACGTTACGCCAAACGTACAAGTGATCTGTATCAGAGATTAAAAAAGATTACAGCAGTTACTTTATATAAATATGATTATTAACGAACTAAGTGATAAAATATAAGAGCGTAGTTTTCTTTCAATTTAACATTGATTTCAGTAGTAAAATTAAAGATATTTTAGTTATTTTAAAATGATTATTATACAACGGTTAGGGAACATTAACTTCTAAAATTAGTGCAATAAAAATTTTATATCAATTAAAAAAAATTACTTGATTATTATTACTAATATTATAAAACAGTATTTGTCAGATACTGATATTTTTCTGTTGCTCTAAATTTGAATTTCCTGCCATGTAAGGGATATTAACGGATGCAAATTTGAAATTGTAAAGGTGGCGCATTTTGAGTTGCAACGAATTGAAATCCTATTGGCCGGAAAATTTGACAAAACCTTTCTGCTCAACCGATCGCGCCACTTTGGTTTGCGGAACGAGAAGCGTAGCATTTCTCGTGCGAAACCTGCATATTTAAATACCATTTTTTTACCGTTGAAGGTGAGTTTTTCATCAAGTACATTTTCATGCTGTGATGTTATGTATCATTTTGTAACAACTGTAATATAAGTTGAATTATTAAAATAATATCTTGATCTGTATCGTATCGTACGATTTTAAATGTCGTTGTTTCGCGAGTGATTCATATAGTAGAAACAAGTTCCATAACGATTATGACTTTTATTACGTTATTCTATTTAAAAATTATAATAATTTGATAGACCTTTTTTAGTAAATTATCAGCAAGGCGGAATATTTTACGGCTGAATAAATATAAATTCTATTTAGATGTAAAAAAAAAAAAAAATTATATATTTCGATTAGTGTTTGTAACTGTCATATCGGATCTGATGTGTTTGCTTTATTTGGAATAGTAAGTATGATAAAAGAAGTATGTTTTAATTGGAATAGTAAGTCTGATAAAAGAAGTAGTAGGGCGGTGTCTTCTGGATTCGTTAGAAATGGCGTCAAATATGGCGGTCGCAACGGCCATGCCAACCAAGCAAGGGCGTTGGCTACGATACGTTATGATCTGACAGTTTTTAAATATAGAAGTATAGCTAAATCATTAAAAATAAATTTATTAGCATTTGTCTTCAGAGATTCTAACGTTTATTGTACTGTTCGGATGTTAAGTCGAATATCGTTTCGGATAAAGTTTCCTAACGTGCTATTGTAAATCTTAAACTAGCTGATACTATTTTTAATTAAAGTTCGGCCCAAATTGACTTATTTGCTAGTTTGCGAGTTCATGTATATTACAAAGTAACATAAGTTGCATGATTTATTTCTTAAGCAACTTTCTGAAGCGCGAGGAATTAGTATGCTATCTTTAATCACGTTGATGTATAAACGCGTGAGAAGAAATCTTTTTTATACGGGAATAAGGATTTAAATGTCAAGAAGGCTTGTAGAAGATGAAGTCAGAGCATTGATCCTCTTGGCATGCTCGGAATATCAAGGCTCTTAAAACAAAACGAAATTAAAGTGACTGATGCCATCCTTTTAAATGTACACTTTGTTTGTATCAGTGTCAAAACTACAGGGGAAAACACTAATGGTCAGCTTGCTAGAACTAAGCTTAAATGTGGCTGAGATGGCAAATGTCACAGCGACATTCATATTTGTGTAAAATCATAAACACCTAATGTATAGAATTGACTTTCTGATTATAATTTTCCTGAGGTATTCAGAATGAAATATTTTCTGAATGTATTTTGCAAAATTCATGTCTCGAGGGATTTTTATTTTATAATCACCACGTGTAGTGTTACTGTCGGCTTTCTTGTTCAAAAGACGTGTTGATTATTTGTAAATATTTTGTTCGACAGTATTTGAGAGAAGGTCTGTGCATTTTTCAAATGGTCCTTATAGTTCCAGTTCAGTGTATTTAAACATTTTGCTGTTATTTCTAAAAATGAAGTCTTAATTACTTCTACATCTCATGATACTCTAACCTGAGAATATGTTGTAACAACCTTTTCACTCTGTCCTTCAAGTTATCCGTGTGCACCACAGATTCCTGCAATTCTCTGCATATTTCAGTTAACATTTTTTATTCCATGAAACTGCATTTGAATCTGATAGTTATTTCTAGAATAAGTAACCTGCATATGTTTCATTTTTCAATATTTGCATTGTTAACATTTAAAAATTGGATCATTACTTAAAATAAAAGGACTAATGATGTCTTGGTTGCAGCTATGGTGAATTTGTTTTCCCAAACTGTTCACATAGCTAAAATTTGGAAGTTATTTTCTCCTAATTTTTAATTAATCGAGTTACTTTGAAATCAGTAAACCAAAGCAAAACTTAATTTTTATTTTCCAAAGCTGTTAAATCGTATTTTTATTTCTCTGTTTATAAACTTTAGGTTGTTTAAAAGATTGAACTGCTTTATATAGCTGGCATTATAAAGTTTATATTCCGTATTTGTGGCGACACAACGGAATCCCACATAAATTATCTTAAAACGTGGTAGGTAAGATCTCCCTCCCTCCACAATCTCATCTTATTATTGCTTAAAATGAAATTTCAAATAGCAGTCTGCCTGAGACAAGTTACCATTAAGAGTTTTTAATATTAGAAAAATGTGAACTTTTGCAAAGTTATTTAAAATTACAAAGCATTAAATGTTTACGAGAGCTGTTAGTAAATTCATTATAAATCGGGTGCATATCAGCTAACATGATAAATTACTCCATAGATTTAAAATGTGTGTGTAGTGCTTTTAAATTATAGATACCAAATAACTCATTTTTAATCACAAGTTGACCAATTCAAAAATGGTGGATCTGAGCAGAACATTTGATTTGATATTGTAGCAATGCATCTCATTGATATAAATTGCAATGTCAACTGTCTTTACTGTTTAACATGGCCATATAGCATTTGACTTTTGTCTGTAGGGAAAGCAGTTTACATAATTGCAAAATGTATTTGTATTAAAGCTTAAGTTTAAAGTGTATTTTTAAATATAGCTTGGTTTTGAATAAAGAAATTTGCAAGGTGGGGTTTATAACAAAAAAAAAATGGTGGTAAAATTCTACAAATGAAAAGTGCTAAGTAGCAATTTGTGTATAATTGTGTTCCTTCTAGCTGTAAGAGTATGTTGTCAACTTCTGCCAGTCATACTGTGCTGCAGGTGGCAGAGCTTAAAACTTGCATGAGGTATGTTAAAAATGTTATCTTTGAGTTGTAAAGCAAACGTCATCATTCAATATTAAAATTTTGAACACTGATGTTTGTGCAGAAATATTTTCTACAAGAGGCCGTTATGTTGGATCCGTAATGCATATATCAACATCAAGGTTTCAGCTGTGTTGAATTTGCTTTTTGAAAGTCATGATGATACTTGAAATAGTCTTTGAAGAGAATGGAAAAAATGCTATTGTCATTTTTTTCCTTGCTGTGTCATGTAACATACATACCTGCCAACTTTTATGAATTTTTACGAAAATGCGTTTGTCTTTACAATTTTATGATCATAATCCATTTTTTACAATTTTTTTCCTTTTTCAAGTGTTTTTAGTGATTTTTCTCGAAATTTTAGAATATTCGCCAATTGCATCGTGTTTTACCGCCAACTGCAGACTACTTCGAATCCAGTAACCTGCGGTTTCTCACAACTCGCTGCTTAACCAGCCAATCCAATGCACTGAACTTTTTTCTTTGTGGGTGCCGGATTATTTTTTTTGCGTTCGCTTCAGCAGCAAGGGAATTACTCAGTGAGCGTGGATTGTCGCATTGTTTTTTTGGGGGGGCACGTGCTATGAATTTTCTTAATACGTCGTTGTTACGAAATGAGTTAAAAAAAACCGCATTCTCAATATTTTCGGCCTGCCTACAAAGCCGAATTTCCAACAATTAAAGAATCCTTCAAAGGAAATAACTATGCATTTTGCAACATGTGCGACTTCATAATAAGTCACGATGGAAGAAACGAATTGTGAAGCATGTTGAGTTTAAAAGCATGAAGTTAATGCTTTGGCTTTGACAACGTCAAAGAAAGTGATGTTTTTTTTTTTTTTTTTTTTTTCTCCTTCAAATTCGGCTATGAATTCTGATGCCGATGTCATTTTGGCAGAGTGTTTACTGCATTCCTTATCGAACACAACGTGCCGCTAAGTGCTGCCGATCACGCCGGTCAACTTTTCAGACGGATGTTTCCCGACTCCAAGATTACTCAGAAATGTGCTTGTGCTCGCACGAAAACATCTTCTATTGTGAACGAAATTGCTTGCGATGCACAAAGTAAAACGATAGCTGCATTCCAGAATTCAGCATTTTCGGTGTCAATCGATGGCAGCAACGACAGCGATTGGAAGCTTTACCCCATCGTTGTCACATATTTCTGCGATGTTTCTAATGAAATGAAAACTCGTCTTTTGCGTCTTCCATTGTTAAATGGAGACGCTAGGGGGGGGGAATATTGCCTCCTTGGTAATTGAGTTGAAACAACTTAACATCCCAATATCAAACTGCATTTCATTTGGTACAGATAATGCTCATGTCATGGTGGGTGACAAAAAGGGTGTAGCCTATTTCCTCAAAAAAGAACAAAATGAATTAATTGTGATTGATGATGATGAACGACAGAACCAATTTTCTGCTGCACAGTTTGAAGACTTTGCCAGTTCTGGAGAAGATAGACTTGATGTCCTCGTTGGTACCTTAAAAAGAATAAAAAGAGCTGATAGACTAGCAAGAGTTTTATGTGCTATTCTCGTAATTCCACACAGTAAGGCTGAGTGCGAGAGAGTCGTCAGTGTTTTGAAGAAAAACAAAACCATGTTTCGTTCTTCAATTTCACCAAAAACTAGAAAACATTTTAATTGCTAAATGTTATGAGGAAACTAATTGTTATGACAGGAAATTTTTCAAAGAATTATTGGCTAAAGCCAAAAAATGCACTCTTAAATTCATTGTAATAATTTTTTTGTATAACATTAAGTTCTTGTTTTATGTTTCCTAATAAATTTTTTAGTTACTACTTAATTGAGATTTACTAATGTAAGTACAATTTTCTTTTTTCTATTTGTATAAATTTTTATTTTTTTATATCAAAGCATGATATTAATTCTTCGTGTTCTTCTGAATTTTTATCTTTAGAGGTAGGCAGGTATGAACATAATCTGAGAATATGATAATTTTCCAGAATCATGAAACAGTTGTATTTTGGGGGGCAGCATACTGTTCTGAATCAATTCAATCTTAAGTAAAATTTCTTGGTGTACGGAAGCAAATAACCTTGGGATATTTTTTCAAAAGTAAATGTCAGTGGCTTACAGCTGGCAAGAATTAGATATAATGCTTTGTTATTTCTGTCATAGTCTTTAGTGGCAAACTCGTTTAATATGGAACTGCTAATGCTGTAATCTAAAGAGGAAAAAAAAATAATCTGAAAGCTTTTAAATTTTGCATTATGCCCAAAGGGGGATACTTTATCCTTTCCATTTACATATAAATTTAAAAAGCATAAATACCTCTTTATTTATTTATTTTTTTTTTTAAGAATATCCAATAGACAGTTTCGTGTGCTAGAGATAAAAATACTTTTCTTTATAGTCTTGCCATTGCTCACTAATAAATTGGTTTCTTAATCACAAATTCTTTAAGGTTTAAAAATGTGAATAAAATGATGTAAAATACGATAATAAAACAAATTCAAGATTCTGTCTTCCCATAAAGTGAAAATAGATGTGTGCAGTAGTGCCGAGTTTGTGCAATTCTTAAAAATGCACCAAGCAGTGGGTGATTCTGCACTTCCCCCAATAATTGAATTGAATGGTATAACAAAATTAGACCAAATGCTTTATGTATAACTGCTATGCCAGTGAGGTGCTTAAAGAATGACATTAGATTCTTAGAAGACTTTTCTAGTGGGGTAAATGTTATCTAATTGTGAAAAGTAATGAAATTTTTACCTTTAGTTGTTGATCTTTTAACTGAAGGCATATCGTTTTCAATTTTAGGTATTGTTACTCAGATCTCATCATGCGTGAATGTATCAGTGTACACGTTGGCCAGGCTGGTGTCCAGATCGGCAATGCCTGCTGGGAATTGTACTGTTTGGAACATGGTATCCAACCTGATGGTCAGATGCCTAGTGACAAGACAATCGGTGGAGGTGATGACTCATTCAACACATTCTTTAGTGAGACCGGAGCTGGAAAACACGTACCAAGAGCTGTCTATGTTGATCTGGAACCAACAGTAGTAGATGAAGTCCGAACTGGCACATACAGACAGCTTTTTCATCCTGAACAACTTATCACAGGAAAGGAAGATGCTGCAAACAATTATGCTCGAGGTCATTACACAATTGGAAAAGAAATTGTAGATCTTGTCCTAGACCGCATCCGTAAATTAGCTGACCAATGTACAGGGTTACAAGGTTTCCTCATTTTCCACAGCTTTGGAGGTGGCACTGGCTCAGGATTCACATCTCTCTTAATGGAAAGGCTCTCTGTAGATTATGGCAAAAAATCTAAATTAGAATTTGCTATATATCCTGCTCCTCAGGTGAGTTAATATGTAATCAAACTATTTTGTAAATATGAAAGATTAGGAGAGAATTTCCAAATCTTATCTCAGTTTGGAATTATAATTAAATTGCTTATTGAATAGATTAAATTGTTCTATAAAGTTGGTAACTATCTTACAAGATTAAAAATTTTCATATCTGTCGTGCAGCAGCCAAAAAGTGTAAAATGTTTTATCACAGAAATTGTTATAAGCAATAGATGAGCAATAAATAATAAGGAATTCATACTTAAGATAAAACTTAACATTAAATCAAAGCCAAAGAAGAGGGAAAATTAAAATTGAGATTATCTGAATCATGAGCCACATAATAGTAAAAAATTTTAAATATGTAATTATTTGGTTTTATAATAAGTAGTAGAAAACAATGTGTTCACAATATTCTTGCACTTGCGATTTACATTTAAATCGAGGTCTTTTAATAAATTCAGAAAGTTTAAATCTACCATAAAGGTTTTTGTAGCTTAGCATAATTTGAGCTAAGATAAGTTGCGAGATTTTTCCTCACTTAGTGACTGGCCCGTAATCGCGAGTCTAGTCCATTTGGTATTTCCCCTTTCGTATTATAAAGTGACATTACTTTCTATTTAGGGAACTTGGTAAATTTTTAAGGTACTTTTCTGTTTTGCTGGAGCAAGCGATAAAGTCGCCAGTAATGATACAACCGATGCCAAACGAAGTATCCTCGCTGGTAACCTTTTACATTTTCAAAACAAGGCGCAGTCATTTCTTATCAGATTGTTTCTTTCAATACTGCCATTAAATTGCATAATTTTACCAGATAGTTGAATTTTATGCCCTAAGGCCATTCACGGTAGTAATTAAGTCAATTGGGATGCAATCGCACTGCTCACCCGTTGGCGAAAATATAGAAAAGGCAAAGTCAAGGGTTAAATTCAGCCATTGTAATGAGAATGCACTCGCGAAGTAAAGCACTGCGGTTTTAATTTCTGAGTAAGCTATTCGTACGAATTGAAATAATTCTTGCATTTAAACTTGTATTCCAAATTAAAATTTTAACTTGAGATTAATGTAGATGATTACTGAGATAATTAGATTTTTGCAGCGTAGTTTACATGAGATGAGATCATTCCGGGTCACATAATATGAACCGGCGAATTAGGATGTTGTACAATGAAAGCATAGTCAATTCTTAAATTAGTGTCTTTTCACATATTTATTGGCTTTTTTGCAAAATTTTAAAAGACATTAAAATGTTTATAGCTTCAAAATAAAAAATTCTTCGAATTAACATTTGTCAACACTTTTTATGTATATACTGTGTGTTTTCGCCAATAAAGTCTACTTGGCGAGATTTGCGCCGCCGTAACAGAAAAGTATCATTTTTAATTCTGAAACATAAACAAGATGACAAATGCTGTAAAGTTTCTGAAAGAAGTTTTAGCAAAGTTGTTATAAATTGTGCTAATCATTAATTTGTCTTATTTCTTTATGGTAAGGTGAAGAGTATAAAATAGAAGGAAATTGTTCTTCAAAGTTCATATTGTTGAATCATTAACAAGTTAGGAGATAACGTAGAGACTGGTAAGAATCAAGGATTTTTTTTAAATAAGCAATCTTGCGAAAAATGGTAAGCAATTTGATATAATAGTGAAATGGTTTGTTAAAAGATGAAAATTTAGGTGGAGTCGTGTAGATCTAATGATTAAGGCTATTAAAGCTGCAGTTATTTGTAACTGCTCACCTTAGTAGTTTCTTTGCATGCTAAGGCAAGATATTGCCTTTCATTACTGTGGACACTGCATATGACACAAGAAAATTTAAAGTGTTCCTTCCAGTTAGCGAGATTTAAAACAATGGAGCTGTCATTATGGTACTTCAGTTATGTTCATTGTTTCTTCTTTAAAAGTATTTAATTTCCATGTGCCGAAATGTATGTGAACTGCGAAAATGTGAATTTGTAACAATCGGTATCTGCATCTTCTAAGTTGCGCAGCATTCAAAATTTGTGCATTATAGATACGACAATTTGAAATGTGGTGATCTAAGAACCTTTTAGGTGCAGTTTGATTGTTGAGTAGAACTTCAATCTAAATCCTTGACTGCAAGTTTGTAGATGTATAACATTTTCTGTCGTTTTTACTGATGAATACTATCATCCTAGATTATATGTTTAGATATTGAAATGTCAGTATATTGGCTGTGATATTTTAAAGAGCAGGAAAAAAAAAAAAAAAAAAGTTGCGTCTTTTAAATATTTTCATGCTTAGGTAATAGCAGAATGTAGTAAACAGATGATGGGACTTAAACCCTGGCTGATGAAATTAGCATAATTCAGCATTGTTGATATGTTTTAATATTTTGTTAATATTAATTACCTTAAAGCTGTTTGCTGTGTAAATGTTGGTTCATCTTTAAATTTTAATAAATACAAGTTATGTCCAGTTGTATAACTAACTACTATTTTTTAGGTATCAACTGCTGTTGTTGAGCCATATAATTCTATTCTTACAACTCATACTACTTTGGAGCATTCTGATTGTGCATTTATGGTTGACAATGAAGCTATTTATGACATATGCCGCCGGAATCTTGATATTGAACGTCCTACTTACACCAACTTGAACAGATTGATCGGCCAGATTGTATCATCAATTACTGCTTCTCTGAGATTTGATGGTGCTTTGAATGTAGATCTAACAGAGTTCCAGACCAATCTTGTACCGTACCCTCGAATTCATTTCCCTCTGGTTACCTATGCTCCAGTTATATCTGCTGAAAAGGCATATCACGAGCAACTCACAGTCGCCGAAATCACAAATGCATGTTTCGAACCTGCAAATCAAATGGTAAAATGTGATCCCAGACATGGAAAATATATGGCTTGCTGTCTGCTCTACAGAGGAGATGTTGTTCCAAAAGATGTCAATGCTGCTATTGCTGCCATCAAGACAAAGCGTACCATTCAGTTTGTTGATTGGTGTCCAACTGGATTCAAAGTAAATATTCTTGCTGAATTTTTATTTTATAAACTAATTTTGCTTTTATTCATATGTCTCATAAACAGAGTTGTTTATATAATTCTTTGTAAATCAAATCTGTATTTTTTAATTAAATCAGATTACAATTTTTATGTAGAATTCTACTAGCTTTACACTGCAAGAACAAAATTGTAGAATTTTTCTTGCAAAGGTTAGGATGCATTTCTTTTTATTCAAATGTGTTTAATGTGCATCCCAAAAGTATTAAACATTTGCTATCTCCATAAAGTCCTCCATGAAGGCATGCCTCTTCTTGGGAGGATAGCCAGCAAGTGCTTTGTCATAATCAGATCAACCTTGTTAAGATCAGTTGCTAAATTTTTTCATAAATGTTAACTATAACCTTTTATTTTTCCTTTTCTTAAAAATAAATTAAAATATTTATCTTGTAGGTTGGCATCAATTATCAACCACCTACTGTTGTACCTGGTGGAGATTTAGCAAAGGTTCAGAGAGCTGTCTGTATGCTTTCAAATACCACTGCTATTGCTGAGGCCTGGGCTCGTCTGGATCACAAGTTTGATTTGATGTATGCCAAAAGAGCTTTTGTCCATTGGTATGTAGGTGAAGGTATGGAGGAAGGTGAATTTTCAGAAGCCCGAGAAGATTTAGCTGCTCTGGAGAAAGATTATGAAGAAGTTGGAATTGATTCAACTGAAGGTGCTGAGGATGAAGGAGATGAGGAGTTCTAGATCTGCTGATTTCTGAACTACTGCAGGACCAATACTTATACATTCTAATTTGTATACATGAGCACATAAGATCATTAAAGCATAATTTGCAACGATTTTGTCCTCTTTTTTTTTTTTTTTATTTATTTTTTAATTATTCAGTAGTTTTGGTTACATTTAGTGATTGCTTATTTAATGTTCATGAATATTTAATTAGTTGAAAGATTTGTTTTCTCAAACACAATGGTTAACGAAATGTGCATTCCTAAAAAATTGAATCTTGCCCGACACATCTATTTACCAGCAATATTTCTTGGTGGAAAATGGCAGAATACTATGGTCGTGTTTCGTCGTAGCCAGCTGGATAACACTGCATGGTTAGCTGCAAAGTCTTCTGAGCCTTTCTTTGCTTCAGATTTGAATGCAGGGGTTTCATTTTTAACTATCTGGTATCTTTGTTTTTAATAATGCGTAAGAGTTAAGTTCCCAGAGACTTCCAGAGAAAAACGTGTGTAAATGTCTTATTCATTTGCAATTAAGATTGTTTAATAAATATTTTAAAGAATTATTTACAAAAGTTTCTATGCAATTTTTAACATTGTATTGTGTAGTAATTTTTCAGGATATGCTATTAACATAAATGAGTCTTTTTAGTTTTATTTCTTCAATGAAATACTAAAGTAGAATTCTTTAACATCATTAAAAATATATTTATAAAATTACTGTTTCGTTTCATCAATTCTAAATTTTGCAGATTTAATTAAGCAAATGTAAAGAATAATAATAAAAAAATTGTATAGGTAATCCACTGAACAAAAATGCATTAATTAGCAAATTAAAAGACCGATTTTTTATTACAATATTTTTATTTTTAAGAATTTCAGCAATTGGTACTACATTGAATTCTTTAAACCTCTTAATATTTCAGAGCTTTCAAATAGTATGCAAATGTATTTTTAATTCATTTAAATGATTTAATGAAATAAGCTGCATGAGAAATAAAACTAAATTACGGTTTGACTGAAACATTACAGCATGCAGATTTTCACATATTTATGTTATCAGTATCTGTTATTTATATACATACATAATAAACAGGATAATGCCAAATGAAAACTTCGACACACCTATGCATAGTTGAAAATTGCCATTTACTGTCTTAATAAGTAGGTAGGTACATGAAAAGTGCCTGAAGCAATAACCAATCACAATTTAATTTGAAAATCCATGGGGTACATGAAATACAGATTGGTGTTGAAATTTGGAGTTTAAAAGATACATTCTTGAAAATGTCTGTATATTTAAAATAGTGGGGTTTTTTTTTTTCCAAATTTAAAAAATTTGCATTTAATGAGCCACTCGTTTCATCAAGTAATCTTTAGAGTCTAAATCCATAATTGTGTAACTTTATATTCATTATAATCCCAGCATTTCTTTATTTTTAAAATGATCCTAAATCTTCAGAGTTGTTTAAAGAATACTGATTAGCCCCTGTCTGTAAAGTTATAGAAGTACTTTATGAAAATATTCAAAGCAAGTTGAATATTTTTCCTTTCAGTTTTGAGGGATGTGATATTTTGAAATTTAATCTAGATTCATATTTTATGAATATTTTCTGTAAGAGTGTAAGCATGAGAGAAACGGTCTTGTTAAATAATTAAAGTTTGCACACTAAATTTTTTTCAGGATCAGTCTGGTTTATCCAGTTATTTCTGATAGACTTTAATGTTTGCACAGAATCAAAGATTTAAATCCTTTGATTGATTGAATGGTTTTTTTTATATGTCCAGATGTGAATCCCTTGCTAAGTTTCTGGAACATATTTCGATTTATCCGGTTATTAGTTATAGAGCACAAAATGGTAAAATCTGCATCTTCTAATCAGTTGTAGCTCTTAACTTTGTAATCCAAGGCAGAGATCTTCAGTTACTTAATTACTATATTCAAATTTTTTAACTGTCGAGAAGGATTTGACCACAATTTAAATTCTGGTCCAAAGTCTCTCAACCACTTGCATCAGTCTAGTAAGAAGTAACGACATATCTCTTTTGCAGGATTTGTACGGTCCTTAGTTTTGGGCAAAATCAGCTGAAGGTCCTTAATTTTAATCATCTGAAATTTCTGTTTTTACGACTCCCATTTTGGAGGAATATTTTTGGGGATTCACTGATGTATATGAATGAATCTTGGATGTAATTTGGAATGGTTTTGAATGGAATCATGGATTGTAATTTGTTTCTATTTCTAATATAAATGATAAGATACTCAAGGTTTTAAGCAAGAAGTGAAATGTAAGCATAGCGAAATTCATTTTTTCTATTAAAGTGCTCTTAAATAACTTTGTTTTTGGCCGTGCAAATTCTTTTATTAAACGTTCTAAATTTGGTGACTTATCAACATTTTGCCAATTTTAAGATCAGTTCCTATAGGAAATTTTTAATTCAGACATTCAGCATTTTTCAACGATTTTTTTAAAAACGTTGGAACATTGATAAATTTCATTAAAATAATGGTAATATATTGAAATTATATTTAAAATAAAACTTTTATTTTTCACTCTCATATTATAAAGTTTCATTTTGGCAACTTATACAATATTTTGAATCTGAAGAATAAATATTATGTTATAAATTGCAATTTACAAAACAGCTTTTGGGAAAAGCAAAATTAGCTATGTAATTTTTTCACGGTAAGAGTTTTTCCCATGTAATTGTTGTCTCGGAGTATTTGAGAATTCTTAGAATATGCATCAGTTTTCTCTGTAAAATTAATTTTACACTTTTTTCAAACTTTTGCTGTTACAGAATTGGTAGGGATAATTTTTGTTGAGGATTTTAGACATTGTAGCTTTGAAGGCAAGATTTATAGAGCAACGATTGGGGAAATATGTGACAAAATGAAAAATGTCTTCATGGTATCAACACAATGGATGTATTTTACAGAAAGTTTGCAATTAATTTCTTACTTTTTGAAGAACAATAAAAACAAATGTTTTACTTCTAATACTAGAATCTTAATATGTTTATCTTCCCTCTATTTTCTCTTTTTATTAGACAAGCATGGAATATATCAAAAATGCTTCTAATCTTATCACATGGAAGGGGATTTTTTTTATTAATAAAGAGATCGAAAACTTACAATATAAAAGATTAATCTAATATGTCTTAATGCACCATACACATAGCTGGCACAAGATGTGTGCAGATTATTATATAAATGACCCAATTGTTTATCATTTCAGCCTTTACTATAATTTCCAGTTTCTCGTATGATAGTTACTGAGCCAGATTAAATTTAAATTGTATAATCTTTGATCACTAATCCACATTTTTAGTTTGAATTTGATTCTTGTTTAATTATGCCACTATCACAGCTGTAATTGATTTTGTTAGCATCAGAACATGCCTTTATGTTTTAAGTTCTTTTTTAAATAAGAGGCTTAATTAAACCTTTGTCTGATATTGTAGTTACTTTCAGACAGCGATAATATGCTTCACATCTGTCTGGGATTTTGGACTATTTAACTTTTACCAGATTGAGTAAACCTCATAGGTAGGTAGGTACATTATAGAGAGGAGAGGTTGACAAGTTAGGAGATAAAAGTATGCAGAAACTAGCAAGAACATTGGTTTGCATATTGAGACAAATCTCTAATTGTCAGAAAAGATGTTTAAAGAGAAGGAAATTTATATGAACTAGCCAAAATGTTTGGTAAGGCTTAAAATAAATATTTTGTTGAGTGTTGTAAGAAAACAAATGCTTTTTCTAGTCTTTAGTGTGTTCTAATATCTTTTAAGAATCTGTCATAAATTATGTGTATTTTTAACTGAAATTTTATTAGATTTTGATTTTAATAGGGCTTTGTTAAAAAATAAAATTTAATAGTGGACACGTAAATCCATAATGACTGAAGTTATCTAATTACCTAATTTATAACTGTTTATCTTTAAAAATTATGTCTACATATTAAAGTGAGTTATTGTCTTTCATTAATATTCATTTGTGGTCACAAGATAAAATATAAAAATGTAAAAATTCAAGTAAAACTTATTCTTTGCATCTAGTGAGGCTTCATCATCACTGGTGATTTCATGGCTTATTGAAACCTTAAAGTATATTAACTGGGTTACGACACCAACTGCATCAAAAAGAGCCTCATTTTCAACTGTGCCTACACCAGGCCTTTCAGGTTTGTTCGAATCAGCAGGTCTTTCTCTAGACAAGCAGCAGCGGTGACAACATTCAGTCTTTTGGGTTATGAATTATGCTGATTATGACCATAACTTTTTATTTTAACTTATGCTGTTTGACACAAATTCTGCCTGCTATTTACTAAATCTCTAGACTAAAGTGACCACATTTTAATTGAGACAAAGTGGGACAAATGAAATGGGAATTATGATTGAGTTATGAAAGCAGACTAATAATTCAAAAATATATTTTATTATATACGGTCAAAAGTCAATCCGGACCTCAAAGCTAAAAACTTTCTGCGCATGCGCGTAAGACCTTTTACCACTGCGCATATGCGTGTGCGTTTTATGTATAACGGACGGTATAATCTAAAATTATCTATTTCAGTTAATGTTGATGATTGCATTGTTCCTTAATCTTCGAATTGGATCCGGCTTGTTATTTTTTGAAGACTGTAAGAGCAATTTTGTTAAAGTAAACTTGAACTTTCGATTATGTCAAATAGCATTTCCGATTCTGGAGCTCCCAAAGGATCGTAGTATGTTTCGATGCCCATCAAACAAAAAGTGGAATTGCTGCAAAAAATGGATAAAGACATGAAGAATGTGACAGAGAGGTTAGTGAAAATGAAAAAATTTCGATTGACAAGTTAGTCGGTATTCTCGGCGCAACAATTAATGGGACTTGAACAGCGGAACTTTGTAACTGAACAAGAAATTCTGTCTGTTTATAGAATTAAAGAGAAAGTATTATCACATAAAACGAAGCATTTTAAAAGAACTTACATTGAAAGAAATGTTTAATAAAGTAAACAAACAAATATTAAGCTTTTTTTTTTGTAAATTTTGATACCCTTTAGATTATAATTGTTCTTTATTTCATAAATTAAGGTTTCATATTTTAATTTTAGAATTTCTGCATG